TAGTGTTGCGTTCGGTATTACAAGATCATAATTATACATAATAATCATAATTATACACTTTCATGTCATTTCAATAAGAAATTCGAGCCAATGAATCATCCGTTGCTCGAGCAGAAGCGTTCTTAGCATAAATAGAACAGCCAGATGGCGCAGGTGTTCAAAACATGTGCCGGTTAATAGTTTAGAGATATTTATGTAGAAATATCGACTCTAAAATTGTGTCTTTATTCGGTAAACGGAAAAGACCATGTTATAAATATATCCTGCTTCGTATTGAGTCATCCTGACTCTGAAAAGATCGTAGATATATAAACGTATTCATGATTCTTAGCAAAGTTTGTCGAATCATGATTTTTTTATACGTTGTGAAAGCGATGATTTCGATGTTACAGGATTAACTGTAGTACAAATTTCGTGTCCCGGTTCCTTCTACGTTGCACAATTTATTTCCCATTGAACTCGAGCCGATGGCGGCACTTTAATTTCTAATTGTGTAAATATCACGAACACCTGTCGGAGCGTCCCTAACCTTTCGACGATTCAAAAATGATTTCCGTGCATGGTTCTAGAATTCATTAGATTTTCTACCAGATAAATAAGTTTCGACACCCGAACTACCGACGACCATGATCTTTTCCTTTCTCCGTCGTGGTCAGAATTTTGTCCAATTATTTATTCTGTAATATAATATACTATATTTAAATAAGTACCCCATTTGTCCCGCCACGTGTCTCGCTTTCTTTCTATTTATCGATTCTGTACTTTTTTTGCTGGGTCAAGTTTCGTTGAGCTCGAGACGCTGAGTAGAAGGGGTGTTGCGAGGTGATTCGTGGAAAGTTAATCGTGTCTCAGGGCACCATCGTTTCAGTTCACGACTGAAATGCAGGATTATCGAACAGGGATCGCAAAACAGGGAGGTATCCTGGCGTCCGCGGTGGAAACGGGCGAGAACCGTCGCGACCTCGACAGTTTTGCAATCTCGAATTGCTACACGCGTTCGCTCCTTCTTTGCTTGTCGCAGCTACTTGAAGCGGAGCGTGCAGCCCGAGACAGCGGTAAATCTCGAATAACCGGTAGATTTCCTCTCCCTCCCCCGCTGACAGGAAGCCGACAAATGTTCCCAGGTATTCGATACGCATGCAGATCTCGCCCTCGAATACTCTGACTACGCACGAGTAGAGTTGTCAGGGATCTCGCGAACAACGAAACGAGAAAATCTCGTCCCCGAATATTCCATACGAGACTCGAATATTTAAGCGCGGTTTCGTTGTTTTTACGAGAATCCTGAATGCAAAGCAGGATTTCGTTTATTTCGATACTTTTTCTACGAGCAATAGGCCGTTTCGTATCTCGACCACCTGTAACGTCACGTCTCTAACCTTAAAAAATGTTCGGAACCAGATAGCATGGGGCTGTTTGAATCTCAGCTTTTGAAATGATTTGAAATTTTTAAGACCATAAAGAAATGCTTTAAATTCCATCGCTAGAACCGGGCAAAATCAAGCTAGTGTTAAAAATCGATCGGATAAGGTACAGAGAAAGCCGCATCGATCAACGATCTGGGTGGGTTGCGCAATGTTCAATCGATTGAAATTCGTGATCCGTGTTTCTTATTTATCGACTCTTATTTTCGGGTAAGGGTATCAATCGTTTGAATATCATCTTGCAAAAGCTGGATATCGCGATATCACGCGACAAGGACGATCAAAGCTTAAAAGCGTCGGAAAGTGAACGTTGAATTGGCAATTTGCACTCGATATCCACGTTTAGAATTACATCTAACTTTTGATTTACACGGTAGTCAGATTCCACGCGTATTAATCGAAGCAGACGATAATACAGATTTATTACAGACTCGTGTTACACCGCTTACGCGAGAAAACAAAGGAACTCAAAATTATTCAATATGGCGGTCAGGCGCCAAATACAAGTTAAATATATTTCTATCATTCGATTGGTTTACACTAGTGAAAAAAATGTTGCAAGACTTTGTGTAAATAATTAATGCAATATAAGCGATATTCATCCCAATAAGAATAAAAAAATTGTTTTTCCGTGGAAACGTGAAGAAGGTACAAAATAAAATGTCACTTTCGTAAGTTTATTGTATGTTTACATAAATATATAATGTTTTGTGTACAGAAATAATGGGTAATACATATAAAAGTAATTTGTACGTTTCATATTGGGACATAAAGTATGGAATTTGTTCGTGATTTATAGGGAACTTTTACGGAACCAATCTACCATGAAAATTGAAGGTTAGGTACAAAGAAGGGGAAGAGTTTATTCGAATACTAGACTTTGTGTAATAATTCATTCGATGGATCAGCTGTTTGTTTTATGCGATGCATAATTTGATTGTATAATTCAGGTAATAATTTTTATTGCACTAATATCTCGAAAAAAATATAACCATCTCTAGTTAGATGTGCATCGAAAAAATAGACAACCTTCATTATCATTTATCTTTCTAACGAGAAAGTTACCTACGCTCTGACATCGTTCGTTAAATATACTAATTGAACTTTTCGTTGGAAATCTTCGAATGTTTTACAAAAACAAATATTTCTAAAACCATCTATTATCGGATCGACGCATTTTTCTACGATAGTTTGAGAGTGCTTGAAAAGATAATTTTAATTGTAAATAATGATACATAACTGAAGATATACAGGGTGTTCAAAATTAAAAATACCAATTTGTTGATGGAGAATTCGTTAAAAAATTATTAACGTTTAAAGTTCCGCCCGTGCTGAATTTTTTTCTCGAAAATGCGCAGGATTTCATGGGTGTGTTTATTCACCAAAAATGATTGTAATTAACCCTCGCAACCGAAAATAATTTTTCCAGAACGATTTGAAATGTTCTAATTTTGTCGAAAAATTTCACATCTATTCGAAATTTTTTTCTCGAAAGTGGGCAGGATTTCGGGGGTATGTCTGTTCACCAAAAACGATTGTAATTGATCTCCGCAACCGAAAATAATTTTTCCAGAACGATTTGAAATGTTCTAATTTTGTCGAAATATTTTACATTTATTCGAAATTTTTTTCTCGAAAGTGGGCAGGATTTCGGGGGTATGTCTGTTGACCAAAAATGATTGCAATTGACCTCCGCAACAAAAAATAATTTTTTCAGAATGATTTGAAATTTTTTAATTTAATTTTTTAATAAAAATTTAACGAACCCTCAGTCAAAAAATTAATATTATTTTGTCCTCTAGAATCTCTCATTAAAATTTTTCCCAGTGGTGGCCGAACACCCTGTATAAATCATGAGATACAAGTGAATTGTAATCAAATCTGTTGCAAATGGTCGAATTGGAATTTTGTAAACTCAAACTAAATAGAAAAAATCCAAGAGAAAACGCCTCTACATGCAATGATACTTAGATTCGAGATTAGGTCGTTCAAGTACTCTTCTTTGATTATACGGATTAGAGGAGGCTAGTAATTGCGGGTGCTTTACACTGGGTGTGAAACGGTCAGGGGGGCAGATTATATGTTTATGATCTTCGGATGATCACAGACCCCAAAGAGCTTTGTAACACCGACGATGCATCGACGCGCGAAGCAACACTGACTGTCCGAGGGTTAACAGCGGATAACAGCATAAAAATGTCTTACCCAGTCCATTTTCTCGTTGTTCCGCGACACCGAGCCTGTTGTCGATTGTTTCCGCTGGCGATCTCGTCAGGTCGAGCACATCGCGCACTATGCTTGCATAGACACGAGTTCTCGTTTTCACCGTGCACGTTTCCGGTGCACCCGCGACCTTGTACCTGGACGACGACACCGAGAAGAAACACTGTTGGACCCGCGAGCGTAACCGTTCCCCAGGACAAGGGGAATGAGACTGAGTCCTGAACAGAAGGTGGAGAAGGCACTGTTACTTTCATGGGTCGTCTCCACCTCCACCTTCATCTCCATCCCCCTGTTCGTCCCCTCTCTATACGAACCACCTCGTACGCGCTTCTCCTTCGACCGTAGGTGAAAGGAAAACATTTCTTCCCGGGGCCCCGCAGCCAAAGCCAGCTCCTTTCAATATTGATAACGCGCAGTCATATTTTCAGACATCGCGAATTCATTTCTGCCACGAGCCTCCGGGAATGTATGCAAATCAGACGGCGCTCCTTAACATTTTTTCCCCGGATTCTGTCGGGTTTACAAATCCACTCGAATGTTCAGAGTCGACGGTGGACTTTCTTATTATCGTAGAATGTAGAATTATAATAACAATAACGTAGAAATAACATAGGATTTTCCAGGTTGAATAGTTTTGTGCAAGGAAGGAGGGGTACGCCAGTCGCATTTGAGAAAATAAAGTTGACCTTCGTGCGCCCCCTATGTGTTCACTTGGGAAAAGCTTACATCAGATTGTACGGACCACGTTTCACAACTTTGTACTTGAAACATTGTTCGACAGTTTTAAAATAGGTTATGTTTTTGATCCCCTCTAACCAATTTAATGAAACTTGTATCGCTTGACGAAGATCGGAAAATTGTAGCTATGCAAGGAAAACGAGTGCTTCCTCTAGTTAACGATTCCTCGTTATTTCGAGAGGAAAACGTGGCTTGGCCCGATTCTCACTGGCAATGAGAAATGGATACTACATGACAATGTCGTTAGAAATAGTCGCCGGGCGAATAAGGCGTGAAATCATTGATGCAATTCTGTCCATTGTAAAGAGATGCAAAAAAAAAATGAATAGAAAATGTGTTGAATTAAGAAAGAAAAAGAAAAGATCGTCCTTACGTTCTTCGAACATTACTTCACAAGATCGTACAGATAAAAATGGTAATATGAAAACGTTTGATCAGCATTGATATCAAACATTTTATTATTCCAAGATTTCGCACAGCGCTGCCCAGATACTGAATATTAAAAAGGAAACAGGAATCGGAGGTGGAACGCCTATAGATAAAAGAATAACGTGGAATTCGAGGACGAAATTTCTTCAATTCCCTTTATTCTATAAATACATGTCAGTGGCGCGTGAAAACCTTATTTTTATTCAAAGTAGTAATGTTTTTATAGAGATTTCGTGTACCGCGAGCGCCTTAAACTGGAATCGTGACGTCGAGACGCATTCTTGTATCGAAACGTGGTGCAACAGCCGCTCTCGAGGCTGCAATTAAATCAGCCGGAACGTGGGTCGACGATCAATGCTGAGTACACGATGTTCATTGGCACGCGATAGGGATCGACTCAATAGTATCAGAACCCAAATACATGCAATTAGTAACCGTGACACGGTGCACGTAGAAATCCTAAACATTTTCGAGAAAAGTGAGACCGAAGAAAAAGTTTCGACGTGACGCGAAGGTCAATATCGGTTGCACGCCATCGCGAGTCGGAAACAACTTTTTAACTTTCCGTCGACTTGTACCGATGCCAACGCTCGAACGGAAACGCGCGCGATAGCATCGCGGTTGTTCCATGAATTTATAGTTTATTCTGTACGTCGTGCGCGAACACTATGTACAAAGTCGTCTTATAAACAGTCAATTATACAAATGGTCGACGAAATAACTCATTCTGCTTCCAAGCCAACGTCTTCCGGGCTTATCGTAGCCTTTTTGTTCTTCTTCGTCGGTTCCTCTGCAAAGAGATAATACATTTAACAATAATCACACGATAAACGTAAGAAATGTGCAGTAATCGTTTGAGTATGGTTACCTTCGTAAACGAAATGCTTAGCAGTTCTTTTTCTAATATCTTCCAAGTCCTCTTCGGTTTGAGCCCATTCCAGCACTAACCTTCGACCGTACAAGTGGGTACTTTGACACAGGGCTTTAAATGCTTTCTGCGGACAAACGAATAGCAATTAAGAAACGGTTAATTCAATTGTTCTTTCGGCTCCATAAGCAGGTACCTTGGCCTCGCTTTTTGTATAGAACTCCACGAACGCGAATCCTCTGTGTTTCTCAACGCCAATTAATTTCTTCGGTAGCCTCACTGCTTTCAGTTCCCCAAATGCTCTACGAATTCGAACATGATGAATTAAAATTTGAATTTAACTTGTATTTTCCTTGAGAACACGTACTTGAAAAGTTCAGTGATCTCCTGGACAGTCGCCTCGAACGGTATGTTTCGTATGAGGATCTTCGTGCCCGTTCGAGCCGTGACGTTGGATGTTTTCTTCGCAGACTTAACGTCGGTCCTGCGCATTCGAACGAATAATAATTTCCGTTTACGTAGAATTGGTTCAAGAAATTGAATCACAGGCGAAATTATAGACATACGTTAACGTCCGTTCGGAACGTTTTAGCTCTAAAGTCTTTCCTTCCAGCACAGTCATTTGTAACACTTTCAGTGCACGATCTGCATCGGCCTTTGTTTTGTAACGTACGAATCCATAACCCATGGATAACTTGCTACCAGGATTCTTTGGATCCTTCTTCGTTGCGACTGTGGCATAATGAAGGCGACCGCATTTGCTGAAATACTGAAACATTAAGAGAATATATTATCCATTCGATCAGAACAGTAAACAGACCGGTTGTTTTCGTGCTTAATAGTATAATAAATACCGATTTTAATTGCTCGTCCGTAGTCGAGAAGTTAATATTTTTCACGAAAAGAGTCGTGTCTGGTTCAGGCTCGTCCTCGTCCTCGCTTTCTTCTTTCTCAGTTTTCTTAGTGTCGTTTACAATCTCCAAACGTTCTACAGATTGGTCTGGCGCCTCTGCAATTTCCTTTCCCTCCTTTTTCTCGTTCGCTCGGGCGTCCTTTTTTTTTTTTCTCTCGACGAGAGGAGTCGTGAAACTATTGTCGGGCGCCCATTCCAGATAAAGCGGCAAGTGTTTGTATTTGCTGTATGCTAATTTTGTGAATGCTTTCCGCGCTTCTGACGGTTCCAAGAATTCCACCAACGCGGTGATACCCGCGGGCGGCATCACGAGCCTACCTAACTCGCCGTGCTGCGCGAACAACTGGCGGATCTCACGCGCAGGCGTGGCAGCAGGCAAATTTTTCACGAGTATCACCGTTTTCGATCGTTTGGCCGCCGGTCGATCGAACGCGTCCAAACAGACGCCATTTTCCTCCAAGAAATTCTTGGTATCCTGCACCAATTGCGTTTCTCCAAGCGCCAGTTTCACCGCAGCACTCAAACCTTTCGTTCCATCTTCCAGCACCTTCTCCTTCGTTGTATTATAAGTAGCCGCAATAGCGTCCGCTACAGCGTTCTGACCGAGGAACAGTGTATTCCAGTTGTGCGCGGATCCCGCTGTCGCTTTGACCTTCAACTCCTTCTTCTGTTTATAAGTCAATCCCTGCTCGTCGAGTTGCTCCATGGGATCGAATTTTGCTTTTCCAGGAAGAAGGTGTAGCATTCTGCCGTTCACGATCGTACCGTCTAATTCGCCGTACGCCTTCACCGCGTGCTCGGTCATTAAAAATGTCACCGTGCCGAATCCTTTTGGTTTCCTGGTTAGTTTGTCCACGGGTAGATTCAATTCGGTTAAAGGACCTGATCGATCAAAATGACGATGTTATTTAACGATATTTTTGTTAACTTTTTTTTTTTATCCCAATAATTCATATAGTATGATTAACTTTAAGCCTCATTTGATGGAGTTAGTTCGATTTCTCATGCAATACAATATTTCTTATTTTAATTGAGATGTTCCATTTTTTTTTAGCTCGGGCCATAACTGTATTCTTACCGAACGATATGCTTTCTGACCCGTTTTTTTGAGACAATTAAGTAACTTCTACAATTTGTACTATTTTGTATTTAAAAAAGTGAACAGAACCCCCGTAAAAAAAGTTTTATGAGAAAGGGCACGCACCGTACTTTTCGAATAGCTTTCGCATATCGTCTTCCGTTGTGGTGTAAGACAGATTTCGGATGAACATTCTTCCAGACTCTGCTATGCTCTCTTCGTCTTTTAGCGCCTCTTCTTGCTTTTTCCACCTAACATTAGGATTGTTCTCGTTCTGTACCCCACTAGATTCTTCATCTTTCGCTTCGTATTTCGTTACAAATATTTGCTTTCCACCTATGAAAAAGTGTCAACATAATTTAAAGGGACATTAGAAAATAACATTTTATTTGTTATTACCTAAAAAACATTTATCTTTCAATAATGCTTTCTTCAGATGTTGCTCGGTTTTAAAACCAACGTAAGCTATGCCCTTGATTTTTGGCGGCACTCGTATCGATTTTGCTTTCAACGGACGGAAAAAAAATTTGACGTCCTTTTTCTTATGATTGTATCCCAGACCCCTAAGTTTCACAGTGAAGAATTTTACAGGGCCACCTTTTGATGCTTTCTTCTCAACTGAATCCTTCTTCTTCTTTGTATTGTGATCTTTTGTTTTCAGCGTTTCCATATACTGCACCGAAAAACAAATGTTACTACATTACTACGCTGGTTTGTAGGTAGCATATTTATGAAGTACATAAATTTCTATTCACCTCTAAATCAGATATGACTTTGTCTGCAAGTTTTTGCTTTTCAGCTTCTTCTTTTTCACTATCATCTTTATTACTAGCCTCTTTATCATTATCCTCAGCGTCACTATGCTCCTTACTTTGAATAGCTGTTAGTAGAGTATCATTCTTCCATACAGTTTTGTTTGCTGTGTGGCTTTCAAGGAATTCTATGAATAATGGGTCATCCTTATGCTAAATTCAAATTAAGTTGAATAAACATTAGACTGGAAATAATAACCATATAAAAGAATTAATCATAACACATAAGTTTACTTTTTCCAATGCTTCTTTGATTTCTTCGTTTAGTTCTGTTTGTTTTTTACTTTTCTTGGCTTTCTTTTCTTTCTTTTCTTTCTTTTTTTCATCTTTTGCTGTTTTCTTTAACAATTCAGTGTCTGGTGTATCTATAGAATCCTCGTTGCTTGCTATATTTTTTGAACTGTCAGGTGCATATTTACTCCATGACCTGGGTTTAGAAGAATCCCCTATGAGATTAAACAAATTAAATTCAACCTGTTACTTTCACACAACCTTAATGTATTAAACATTATGGAATACCTAGACTTGCGCACTGCTCTATGGATATTTTGCAAGTGTCGATACAGGTATTATCAAAATAATCTTTGGCAGCAATAGCCTGCTCTTCTGTTTTAAATCCGATAAAAGCAAATCGACGGAATTTTCCATCCTTCGTGTATTTCAATTGCACATCAGTTACCAAACCTTTCTGGCTAAACACTTCCTTCAACTTAGTATCTGGAATCTATTATTACAACAAATTAATAATTTTTACTCGTTCTGACATTACATTAATGTTATTACTCACTTTCTTTGGCAAATTCTTTACTATCAGTCGCGACATTTTCTATCAATCATAATTACTCTCAAAGAGTATTTTCTACTGATTGTTTATTTTATCGACGAAGTGAACTAAACCATGCGGTTTTTTAGAGGTTATGTTTCCCAATATTTTTGTATAGGTTATAAACAGTTATGTCAAATATGCTTCCAACGTTTATGCAGTTTAGATCATGATCTTCAACAGAAAAGTTATGCACAACGTATGTCTGCCATATATTTTCAAAACATTGCAACAATATATAGACAAGATTCAAGGAATTTCATAAAATTTTATTCGAATAATAAACTAAGGATAAAAATCAGAGATAACATTTTATTTCCTCCGAATATAAATTTATTTATGATGGTAGGGACATAAAAGTGTAACAGAGATAGAGTGACGCCATATTTGAAGGGGAACAAGAGAAAGTGAAAGAACATTGTCACTAGAAAGTGCGTGGACATCGGTCCTTCTCATTCTGATTTGTATGAAGTTCGGAGAAAAAGGTTATGTACTATTTTCACACAAATTTATTAAAAACTTAGAGTTCGTACAAATGATAATTTAAAATTAATGTCTTTTACAAAGTTTGAGCGTAAACCAGCATGTTCTGCTGAAGTATGTTTATCAACACAAAAAAAAATATCTTCCATTGTAAAGCGTAAGCGAGTATTTTTAATTTTCGAGCAAATACATTTCGTAAAGTTGCCGGTGTTCTTCTTTCGAGAACTTTGGAACGAAATCAATCGTAAGGATTTCTGTGAAACCTTCGTCCAAGCTAGGTGGTTGATAATTTTTCCTAAAAAGAAAAGTAGCAACGTAAATTGTATCCGAATTTCAACATATTGGATTTTATGATTTTTACTCTACTCACACGTAACTATTAATAACCACTTCGGTAACTTGAACGTGAGTAGAATCTGTTAATCGTCGGAACTACAAATAAACATGTTCATTAGAATTAGCGGTATACGTAATGTTCAGCATACAAAGTGACAACTATGCGATTCTTTCAGGTCATAACTCCGTTACTAGCTATCGGATCTTTTTTTAAATTATGCAATCATTAATTGCACATATACTATTGCATTAAAAAAAATAAGAGTTTAGATTAGTGTTTTCTTACCTTGTTATTATGTTTTGCATGCTCCAAGGTTGTTGACATAACGAAACACCTTACAGAAACTCCGTATTTTTTTGCCAATTCAATATACCTTTGTCTCGACACGGTATCTGGATTAGTATTATCCACGACCACACTCTTTTTTTCAATTATATGTTTTTCCATTGCACTAATGCATTTTTGCCAGCTTCCAAGGGTGTCTCTGTTAACGTGTGCATAATTATTCAGGTAATTTTTCACAAAATGTGATTTGCCTGATGCAGGACATCCAACCATTACAATTACCTAAAACAATAAATAAATAGCTGTACTACATTTATAGATTCGATCAAATGTAACGCTCTATTTTCGGTAAAGTGTACGTTCGTGTTTCAAGCTCGCCGTTTTGAAAGGATTAATGTTTCAAATACCTCTTGAATACTCGAAGTTATATTATCTCTTAAACATATCTCGGCAGTTGTTAAACTTTTCGGATTAAATGTGGGCAATGCATAAGGTGCCTCTTTGTGTCCAAGAAAATGTTCTTCCGGTGTGTGAAACTGCAAGCCTAAATTTAATGCTAGCAATCTGTCCACCAACGAGTGATCTTTCTTTTTCCCTGGTGCCCAATTTTTCGGTCGTCCAGCCGCATCTCCGACGTAAAAAGAATCGTCTTTATCGATGGATACAGAGTCATTGTTCTTTAAAAGAAATACTGTGGCATCGATATCATTTACGGTGATGATTTTTTTTCAAAGCGTGTCTAAAATACTGAGACCATTGTCGAAAATGGAGATGTCAGATTTCGAGCAATGAGTTTAATCTCGTTACTTTTTAGACGCGCCTCGTATAAATTAATTAATTGAGATACCTACTTCTTCCAGTTTTTGCCACATACCAATTGCTGGCTTTCTGTAGATGTTACTTCCAGTAGCTATAAAAACCTACAAACGAATTACTATACATACATAAAAAACAAAAAAAAAATTATTTATTGCAATCTATGAAAAGCAAAATGTACCTGCATCGGAACACCTATCCTTCGCGTTATATTTTCGATTTTCTTCTTAAAACATTTAACGCTTAGTTTTCCAATTCCGATCCCCTTTTGATTAGTGAAAATCACTATTTTGTAGCCACTACTGTGAAGCTTCTTCAATTTACCTGATACACTGGGATATAAAAGTTGCCAATCATCGTAATTTTTTGGAAATACTAATCCAGAACGTGTTGTTATCAATGTTCCATCCATATCATATGCTGCTACCTAAAAATCAATATATCCAAACAATTATTACATAAATTCGCTTATGAATAATGTTTCCTTGAATTACCTTTGAACGTCCTAGTACCCCTTGCATAGTGTACATTAATACTTCTTCGCTTCCTGTACTTTCCCATATGTGTTGGCCATTATCTGAATCTTCGTTAGCTTTGTCTTCCGACTGGTCAGAACTTGCATTACCCCTCTTTAAGAATTTCAATATACCGTCGCTATTATTTGTCTGTTTTTTCTCCTCTTGTGTTTCACCTTCCTCTGTTCCTTCCTTGCAACTTGTATTTATATCATCCATTTCCAATTTTGCCACTTTGCGAGCACCTTGTTCAATTTCGTTATTTATTTCTGATTCTCTAACTCTTTTCTCCAATAAAAGAGTTTTGGAAGGTGGAGGATTAAATTCTATTTGATACACATATTTTCCATACAAAATTTCCAAGCAATCCTCGTGTTTGCCTATAAATTTATTATCTTTACGCGTCTTGAAACCATTGAATCCGCATGGTCTTTTGCCAAGCTGTTGAATGGAGACTTTATACTCCTGATAATCTGCATATAATCTCACTGTGTAAAAATTATATGATTAGATTAACAATTAAAGGTATGAAATAAAACAAGAAATATTTACCTTGTTGTCTGGAGCACTGTGTATCTGTAATGTTTGTTTCTGGACAGCGACCTACAATGACTGGTTCTTGATGCGGTAAATATACTGTCAGTAATGCTTTATCATTACTCTTTAAATAACAACTTTTGGCTTGCTGGCTCATAGTAAGTTAAATAAAGAAACAATGTAGGTAATACTTCTGTAATAATAAAACAATAAACGAATTTAATGTATTAGATACTTAATATTTAGAACGTTATAAATTAAATATTACATAACGCATCATGCTTTCGTAAAATTGATTTCCAAGCTAACGAATTTTAAATAGGAATAACAATAACAACGGACGACATTTCTGATAGCAGTTCGTTTTCGTAAAATTATAAAAATTTCTGATAAACATTTGTTCGCTCATTAATATTAACATTAATTTGAATGCTTCTATAGTTTACAAATTTTGTATACCTTCAATTTGACAATCAACCTTGTCGAAAACAAAATCTTTTCGATCATTTTTGTTACGATTACATTAGTCAAATTAGGTTAGGGTCGGTTTAAGCCTAGGGATACATATAAAAAACATACATCGATGTTCATCGAATAATACTATCGATGGTTTCAGATATATTGTTCAAAGACATCATAATTAGTATATGAATTTAAATAAAATATCATTTATGATCGCATTAAACAATGTAAACATTATAAATATCGATATTTATCGATATATATCGTGCACAGTGTTACCAACCGGCAGATTGGTGCTTAAAGCAGTGATGGACGTTCAGTCCTGTTGCGGTCGCCGCCTGGCGCCGTGTAGCAGAAGCTCTGGGGGGCGCGAGGTTTAAATCAGATTACACGAATGTAATAGGAAAGGAAGACAAAGTGGAGTCCGCGCCAATTCTACGGTTTAAAAGTAGTTAGAGATTCTTTTAATGACTTCACTTCGGGTCATAGATTAGCCTATAATTTATTGGAGACGGATGTTTGGATAGTCGTGAGCTCCCCTTTGATCCTTTCTCCTAGGTGTGTAATTCCAGGAACTTGGGCCGTGCGCTATCGATTGCCGGAAACGAGCTGCGTGCAAAAGCCGATAACGGCCACGTGCCGCGAGGACCGTTCTCGAGGGATCGGGGGGTGTGCCGAGGAACGCGCGTGCGAGAGTTTTGCGCCCGGCCCGAATAAAGGAAGGGACGATCTGGAGGGGCCTACGTGTGGGCTGGGCCTCGTCCGAACGGCAGAGCGACACTTGAATCCGGAGATCGAAAGTGAACGGACGTAGCATTGTAACTTAAGCGAGATCGTACTTGTATTATTTGAGTTAGTTAATAGAGTTGAATCGGCAAAGAGAGAAGCATATTGAATCGAGAGAGCGGAAGTGTACGAACGGGTTATAAGAATTCCAGCGAAATCTTGGTTGTTTTGTTTTATATTCCTTTATTGAGTTAATTAAAGTACTATTTACGTGTGTTCAAATCGTTGTATCCATTTATTATTTTCCTTATCTATCGATCTCCGTTTGAAACTCCCGCGTCCAAGGAGCAGAGTGCCTTAGCACTCCACGGGCAGCGTTCCCCGCCGAATTCCCTACGAAGTTTCGGAAATACGCCGCCGGACGCGCAACAGTCCCGTGTACGTGAGCTTCTGTGCTTGTACGATCAGGTCAGGTTAGAGGTGGTTATAATCTAACCTGACATAAACATAAAAAACAACACGTGGATTTTAATGATAGACAGACGTAAAGACACGTGCCTTAAGTTCGACTATTTTCATTTATTGTGAAAGTTTAATATGATTAGGTAGGCGATCCGCGTGTGTAGTTATATAGTTAAAATAAAATTTGAAAGCAATGGCTACGACCGAGACCGCGGAAACCGAGAAAAATCCTTACGCGTACCTCGACAGAGATGATTTCACGTCGGAGAAATATAAAATTGAGATACGCGGTTTGCCAAAATACTATGGAATAGGCGAGTTTAAGAAGTTTCTGAACGAGAAGCTTGAATTGGAGTCGCGAAAGGTGAAGCCACCGAAACGTGGCAGTGGGTGGCTTTACGTATCATTCAAAAGCGAAGAAGGCCGTCAAAAAGCCATAGAAAAATTAAATGGGACTGTATGGAAAAACTGTAAGCTCCGTGCTCAGGTATATTGTTATTTTGTATTTTTTAAAGCACGTCCTCGGGTTACAAAACGCTCTAAAATCATGCATGTTGAGGACCGACTGTAATCGATAGGTTTCACTTTGTAAAATAGATCGCAAAACCTGTACCAGATCCATTTATAAAACGAAGGTTGGAACAGCAAAGTGCAAATAAGCGTTTAAAAACAGACGAATTTGATCAGAGTATATCAGAAGCAGATAGAGTCAAGGCAACTACAATACCATTGTGGAATACACCTTACGAGAGCCAAGTAAGATAATTATATCAAAACTTTTCCGGTGGTCTGATATAATAGAAATACAAAGGCTAAGGGCTGTACGATATATTTTCAGTTAGAGCTGAAACAAAAAGATATGAGATCTATTCTAGTAACTATCTGCAGACAAATGCTAAAAGAGAGCAAAGGTGATCTCCAAGATTGGTTAAAGTATCAGAAGGATAAATACGAAGGATTGCCGTGCGAATTGCTCCCTATTCTTAGTATAGACACGATCACAGAATACAGAAACAAGTGTGAATTTACAGTTGGTAATTCTTTGTTAAGTCTATTTATCTCGAAAATAAATTTTAACCTCAACTATTAATATAAAATCGATGCAATGTAGGTATGAGTAGCAAGGAAGACAAAGTTGTAGTAGGATTTAGATTATCTAGTTACGCGGCGGGTTCCACGGCGGTAGGGCCGATAGACGACTTGTGCCACATCCCTACTAAAATGAAAATTGTCGCTAAAGTGAGTTTTCTTTTTATAGAGAACTTCCTTCGATTTGGTCATACCTTTTAGATTTCTTTTTTTGTATTAAGTAAATTCTAGGTACTCGAAGAATTCATACAAAACTCTGAATTGAAACCTTTTCAACCGGTCGATCATAGCGGGTACTGGAGACAGGTCACCGTTAGAACTACTCGTTCCGACAATTTAATGGTAATAGTGGGAATGCATCCTCAGGACTTGAGCGCGGAAAGACTGAAGGAATTAAGATCGCAGCTGAAAGATTTTTTCGAGACGGGTAAAGGCGCCGAGGCGCACGTAACATCTTTGTATTTTCAAACGATGAGTAAAAAGTAAGATTCGTCCAAAAGTAAAATTCAAGAGTCGGGAGTAGCCTCGTTCCGGTTCGATCAACTTTTTCATTCTCACTTAGAAGCATAGACGGGGAGAGCGGAGACAATCTTTATCATATCAGTGGAACAAAATACATAGAGGAGACGCTACTGGGCATGAAATTTCAAGTTTCTCCGCAAGCGTTCTTTCAAGTGAACACGCTGGGCGCCGAGGTATTGTACAAAGCAGCCATTGACTTGGCAAAACCTACCGAGGATACCGCGTTGCTTGATATTTGCTGTGGTACAGGGACGATTGGACTTGTATTTTCAAAGGTATAGTTAATCTCGTGAGAGGTACGTAAAAGTAAAGTTCTATTTAGATGCGAGTAACAGGATTGAGGTTATTAGATTCCTCCTAACACGTGGGCGTAGCATGGTCGCCTAACCAGACTATTATCCGTTCTGGATGCTAACTGGCAATTTAATTATAGCGTATTGTTGCGATTAATGGGATATTCCCGTTTATTTGAATAAATAAATGTTAAACGCGAGTCGTTTCAGCATTGCGGCGAAGTGTTCGGACTGGAGATAGTCGAGGATGCTATTAAAGATGCCCGGGAAAATGTTATCGCGAATAACGTGACGAACTGTGAGTTTTTCGTTGGAAAAGCGGAGGACATCTTGTCGCCGGTCATTCGGCGGACCACGAAGCCCGACATTATCGCTGTCGTTGATCCTCCGCGGGCCGGACTTCGTAAGATCTCGTTAATAAAAATTCAATATTTAAAGGGATATTAGCATTAACAATGTTATACTTATATTGTTTGTATATTCAAATGTTGTAAATTTGATGATGATCTGAAACTGGATATCAAATACTTTCTTTGCTCTCAAAGGGTCATCTTCTGTTGATGTTAGCAATAGTGATAATATTTCGATTGTACGATCCGGGACTATTTCAGACCAGCGAGCGTTGCTAACTTTACGCAAAGCTAACAAGTTATCGAGGCTGGTGTACGTATCCTGCGATCCTGGAGCTGCTGCAAGAAATTTGGTGGATCTGGCCAGACCCACGTCGAAGCAATACGTCGGTGAACCTTTGGTGCCTGTGAAAGCCATCGGCGTGGACATGTTTCCGCACACCAAACACTGCGAATTGGTGTTGTGCCTGGAAAGGCTATCCGTAGCAATGAAATCACGCGACTCCACCTAGCGATCCAATCCTTAGATCAGACTTCGTCAATGGCGATTTATAATATTTGTTTCGTTGTGTTGCAACGTTCTGTCGATGTTACGTGCGTCCTGAATAAAAGCACCTCCCTCTGTATACAACTAGTAATTTGAATAATCACTTTATTTGATATAGTAATATCAAGACCAGCGATATGTTGGATATCGTCAACGGAGCAATCGATAACGTATATCGACGTGCATACGACATCCTTAAAATAACTTACCTTCCACGCGAATCGGTGACAGGTTTGGGAAACGTCGGATTGGAATCTATTGGGATATCATTTGTCGATAAGGGATCGTTTGATTTTAGAACCAATTGAACGAGCACACTGGGTTTCGTCTTGCTTGATTACGCTTCGAGTAGGTATATACGTTTAATCGATACTTGTATGCCGATCGCTTAATAAGCCAGAGAGACAAATATTTGACACAGTGATTCGTATATCCATTGCTCTCGCGGTCGTCGATGCTTGTAACGGGTAAAGTAGTGTTAAAAGAGGTTAGAATAAGTAGGACAAGCGGTGATCCCGACCCGTGAGGAAAGGCAGAATCATCAAGTTGGATTTAGGGTCTAAGTTTTGTCTTTGTTTCGTGATTTATTTCTCTTGTGTTCTGATCGGGTAAAGCACGCAAGGAATTTCGACCACGTTGCGACTGGCGGGGTGGGGCGAGGCGATATTAAGACGGTGAGGCTGATTAGACGCCAGCACGTTATCACTTTCTTTTGAAGCACGTCACGGCGTTAAAGTAGCAGCGCCAGTAAATCCGTCCTTTCGATTGTCCGCGTCGCTGAAGGTCCATCTGAAATTAACGACAGAAGGCAATGTTAACCCCTTTCTCATATAATAACGTGTTCGACTTGTTTTTTTCAGAACACTATAATAAGAAGAGGGTGGTCCAACTCAGCCCCCTTTCTTGCTAGAATTTTAACTAGAATTTTTAGTCTCGGAATAATCCGCTAGGTGCTACAATCAGATTCACGTTACACGTAAAATACACGTTAATAACCTTCACAGTTTCCTCGTCCGCCGACGAGACGATCTGCGAGTCGCTGGCCGGTAGATGAGGCCCCGAAGATCTCGAAAATGATCTACTGCCACTAAGTTCGCCTCTGCCTTGATTGTCGACGACATTCTGCAGCGCGACCATCAGCTGGTCGAGCAAAAGAGCCGCCCTCTTCGGCACCACCACCTGAGAAAAACCCAGAACAAAATGCCTGATGATAAGTCCAGACATGTGGCCTCCCGGTACAGGCATTAAAAAAAATTAATGTCATCTCATTATCCGTTTCCAGGGAATAATAATAACAACGTACGAGAAGCGAGTTATGTTATTTACGAACGCGTTAATTACACGTACGCAGGATTTACGCGATAATTGATTGAATAGCACGAAGCGGCGTGCACGGTAATATATACAGTACACCCACGGTAACGCGCAGGGTGGACCCATTATTATCATGCTCGTTTCCATCGGTGTTTCGCTCCCTTGCTACCCGATATTTAATGTTTACGCCAATTAAAATTAATTAGACACGAGGATAATTGCCACGGAGTTTTAACTGCCGTGGATCCTTGGCTGCGACTCTTTCGTTCGCGTTCCATCATTCAGATGTCACGACCTGCCCCTCTTAGAATGGTGTTTAACCTGCATACGACTGAGAGAATGCAACCACAGACGAGATATACGAGTAGACCTTTCGCCTAATGTATTTTTTCGGCCCGTTTCTCTGGGGTCTCGAAACTCCGTTACCATTTCCGTGTCACTCGCGACGTTACCAACAGATTTAGAAATGAACACAAGAGGAAGTGAGACAGAAAATTAAATTACAGAAATTGTGTTATTTTTTAACGGAATGAAAGCTGTACAGTCCAGAATTGAGCATCACTTGATTAAGATTATTAAAATACGCAAGGATGTGGCAGTCAGATTGATTGGATCATCAAAGTCCATAAGGTGACCGGTCTATTCGTATACCTCGTGTGTATTTCTTTTACAATCGCGATTCCTACTTGGGGTAACCTCGACGAGAATATTTTTTCCAAAAATGCGTAGGATTTCAAGGACATATCTATTACCAAAAATAATTCTAATTGACCCCTGCAACCGAAAATAATTTTTCCAGAACGATTAATATTTTTTTAATATTTTTAAAACGTTCCAAATGACCGACACGAGAATTGTTCTCGCATGTTTCGAGATTAAACCCCTCGATGCTTGAATATTTTCCAAATTTACGATCCAAAATACACAACTTCTCCTCGTGTGCATTAATGTGTGTTTTGTTGGGCGTTGTAACATATCGTTTTGCGATTTTAGTGACGCATGTACAATTTACCGATAAGAAATGAAAGATGGAAACTTATATAAAAGAAAGTATCGTATAAAGGACAGAAGATCGAAGAAATTGAATACGTGATGTACGACCTTGGTTCTCGACAGAAATTCAAAGGAACTTTCAGTCTCCTCGAATTTGTCAATATTTTCATACCTATTGTATGCAATAATTGTTAATTAACATCAGGCAATAGTTAAAATAATGCTCGATAGCGTGTGTTGTATAAATAATTGTTTTTAATATCATTTTGCGTAGAATATTCATTTTTCGGTCAAAGGCACGGTTAACTGTTAATTGATTGGTGAACACGCCAAGGACGGTCTTCCCCACCCCTTTGACTCTTCTGCCTGAGGCTAACTGCCGGTGACGAACTCTCTCTCCCTCTCTTTCTCCTCCGGGCTGGCGGACGTGACGGAACGTCGTAGGCATGCGCTCCACTTCTACGGGCCACTACTGACTACTGGCGACCTCTGGGGACCAATACTGACTAGTAGTGACCACTAGTGACCAAGACTACCACTCGTGACAACTCGTGGGAACTGTTGACCACTACTGACCACTGCTGACCACTACTGACCAGTGCTGAAATACCGCGTGTAACTATGTGTCAACAAGTAGTAAGTCCATTCCACATATTTATATGTATTAGTACAAAATTTGTTTGTTTCTTTTATTTGATTGTACGGTGTCAATTGGATTTTGTCTGTCTATTCATTATTATGGATGTTTCTCTCGTCTTTTTCGACTTTTGACATCAACATCGAGTGAAAATGGCAATGAACTACCGTGTTGGTTCATTTTCATATTTGTTCCTACAATATTCCGTGAATTTTGACACCGATGGGAATATTATTTTCAATTTTGTGTTATTACTCGAATTCTCGTAACATTTCACAGAGATACTTTGTTCAATTGTTTGGTACTTTCTTTTCGACGTTATTTGTGGAGTTGTTTCGACGTTTTAACTACATATGTGATAATAGAATTTTACCTGATGAAAAATTACTTGTTGCATAAAATGTGTTGAATCGTTATCTAGGTAGATCGTCATTACTTTTCGATTATTCAGAATTTTTATTCTGTTTGTTGGTTAATTATAATTTTTATTTTGTCGATATTTATGAATAATTCGATTTGTGATTTATTACCATTTTCACTGTCCCATTATGTGTCTATTTTATACATTTCTTTAGGTATGACTATTTCTAAATTTTGTAGCTTCTCCAACTAATAGATTCTCATTTACTCCACTACATTCTTCGATACATCAGTTCACTAATTGCTTAGTTTCTTTAATATGATACTAATATAGGTATGTGTTTCTGTTTTAGGTTAGGTCTATTACAGATCAATTGCAAGGACATCGAGGTTATTTTTATTTGAAGACAAATTCTTTTGGAAACTCTTTCACCTCTCTTCGTTGGTTGTGCATCTTTCATTGGTCGCACTTTCGTTTGTCTCTTCTTCGACCAACGATCGTTGGCCACAGAAGATCTTTATTAATGGCGGGTCTCCATTCGCAGCAACCTCCACGTGGTGAGACCTGGGTAATATTATTTACCGTTTAATTAATAATCGTATCACTCTTAGCTGGGTACTGCAATTATTAATTAAAAACTAAATAATATTAGCAAATTGGCTGCGATCCGCTTTGATAGATCATCATAAATATAGAGCTTCTTCGCTAGGTTAGTTTTGATTCTCATTGATTCATCAATGATTCTAGAGTATTGTCAGAGACGAGGTATACGAGTAGATCTTTCACCCAATGTATTTTTTCGGCCCATTTTTATGGGGTCTCGAAACCCCATTACCATTTTCGTGTCATTCACAACGTTACCAACAGATTTAGAAATTGAATTTCAATCCCTTCCATAGTCAATTCACATGTATTTATGCACACACTACAGCTGTCTGTCCATCAACACTAATTCAGTGAATAGTTTTTGAACTGACCGCCATCCATGGGAAGAGGACGTTAAAATCAGCTCCGAATTTTCAGGTCGTTATGGCAGTCAGATTGGGCCACGAATGTCGATAAGGTGAAAGGTCTACTCGTATACCTCGTCTGTGAGGCCACGAAAGTCTATAAGGTGTAAAGTCTACTTATTGTATACGAGTCCTATACCTCGTCTGTGATCTCAGTTCATCCTCCCCTATGCATGTGCTCTGGTAACGAAGTATCGAATGCAGCTTAGTGGGATCGATATCACCAATAACCCCAACATTAATTGCGTTCGATAAGTGAAAATCAAATTTATTCCATAATGCAATATGCTCGTTTGCGAAATTCAGCGAAAACCGAGCGTAAACGAAGCAAGCGTAGTTTTCCGAAGTTACCGAAGTTACTTCGATGATCCAACGAGCCATTTACCGACGGATTCCACTCGATTATCTCGTCATAGCTCGGGGCTCCGCGAAAGTTACAAACTTGATATTGATCTAATTATCGCGTTCATTTACCGTACACCTTTCTAATTAATTAGCCAGTTTGTCCGACTGCGTATTATTTCGGCTTCGTTCGATCAAGAAGGAGGACTTAGTTTCGTTTTCTTTTATCATTGACATTGCTGGAAATTTTCAGTACGAAATGTTGGTCTTACCGAAGATGGGGAATTAAATAGTTGTCACAACCTTCTAGTTATTTTTGAAAAACCGTGACTGTGTCATCCGTCACGTCACATATGGGTGACAAGAATTTTCTTAAGGACCTACAAAAAAATGAATTCTCAATGTGAGTCGTCAGAGAAAATAAATTTGAATAGAACTCATGTATTTTATCGAAGTTACAACAAATTTTAGGTTATGTTATTTTCAATTGCGTGTGGCGTGGCGTTCAATGTGGACGGTTAAACCAAGGTACTATTCATCACTGTTGCCAACATATCGTACGCACAAACGGTGGAACAATGGGAATAACGACAGCTCGGAGGATTTTAATCATCGATGAAAATCTCGTGGACGATCGAAGCTGAGATTTCTCGACGGGACGGAAGATTTCAACCGTCCAAGTTCAATTTCTTGGGCGACCTAAACGACAAAAGGTGAAAAGAAAAAGAGCTCTGATTTCCCATGGAAAATGTCCGTGTAGCAAAATAAGTGATCACGTAGCACGGGTCAGGCAAAGTAAACGTCGCTTTTTTTCTGTCACGGTGTTATTTGTTCCGAGCGATTTCCCACAGGGCTTTCGAAAGGTCGGCCTTTACTTTCTCGCGACGTGTCATAGAAACGGTAGCAGTCTCATATCTAAGTCTCGTGGACGGATTATTGGCCCATTCGCGAAAATATAAAGAAAATCGTCCGACCAATAAACGAGGTTATTTCCGTTCGTGCGAATTCCCTCCATATTCGCTCTGCTGGAAACGATATATGTACTATGGCGGATATAATAACTATCGTGTTACACAAAACTTTTGTTATTTAATTCGCTTTACTTCTTACGTTTATGGCAGACTCTATGCCAAATTAAACTAATATGTCAATGAAATATTTTATTATATAATTATTATGTTAATAAGTTAACCCTTTGCACTCCTATGTCGAGTGTGATTCGACATCAATTTTTATCTCAGGAACTCCTTTGTTGAGTTCCAGTCGACATTTTTTCAAGTCCAAACCAAAGAGATATCTTGAAAGTTACAAAATGCAGCAACAGTGTAAATAAAACAGATATTTTAACAGGTAAATTTCAAATAAAACACTTAACTCGATCGAGTCATTTCATTTTAAAATATCACTATAGTCAATTTTTATTATCCAGCTAAAAATTAACTTTTCTTATTATTAAATAACTTTTTTTTTTATACCATAAGGCTATTTCATAAGAATTTTATTGTGTTTCATTTTAAGATAT